GTACTACAAACTGGAATCGCGTACCTTTTCATAATTGGGGGCTTGTATACCAAACGGGAGTGGGTATTATTGAAACTCAAGATCATTATCAATTTTATAATATTGTATGTAGCTAGACATTCGTATTCAGAAGTATTTCACAGCTGCGACAATACTCCATAAAAGAAGTTTAAAATAATTTGTCCAGAAACATTTATTTTTATAAATTTAAGGTCACACAGCTCAACTATATATGGTGAATTTTGTCAATAAAAACTTTTTTTAGGGTGATATTAGGTCTGAAGATATCTGTCGTCAACAGAACGCTGATGAACTAGGCTTTGATAATAACCTCTTAACTAATTGTTTGAATGGTCCTATTGCAATTGCAGTATTAACCACAATTACTATTCGAGTCTAGACCAATTAAAAATCAATTTGCGATGCAATAATATGTTGATATTTATTACTTTCGCGTTTCTTCGCCCGATTTTAAAATTGAGTGTGAAAAAACGTCGAAAGCCCTGACCCCAATAACGCTTGGAACAATTATGTACTTTTTCCAGTCACTGCGTCATTATCTCGGCACTGCGCCGCTTCACATTCATTAAGGACTCGGTGCTAAGATTGTAACGAAGTGGTTTAAACGACCATGTTACTCCTCTACACTCTCAAGAAAAAGGGTGTAAAAGGGTGTATCGTTACACCCTTTGTCCTATATAATACACCCCAAAATTTCAAATCGACGTACAGCGCCGTACAGTCGAAGTGACGGTGCAAAATTTCACGAGGGGCTTGATAGCCGTGTGGTAAAAATTTTTAAATAGGTAAAGTACGTATCAAAGACCACATAAAAAAAACACCGAGTTTTTACAGTAGGGCCAAGAAAACCCAGATTCTTTTTTTTTGTTGTTGTCAGTAAAACGTACATTAGCTATTTTAACAAGTTGTAACACACGGCTATCAAGCCCCTCGTAAACCTTCAAGCCGTCTGTTCGACTGTAGGGCGTTGTACGTCGAATTGAAGTTTTGGGGTGAATTATATCGGACAAAGGGTGTAACGATACACCATTGTACACCCTTTTTCTTGAGAGTGTAAGCGTCTTTGTGGGCAGGGCTGGCGGAGGATTTTTTCGCACCCAATTTTGAAATCTGACCAAAAACGCGATAAACGAGAGAGCGTTGTAGACTCGTAATATGACCTATGAAACCTTAAATTAGGCAGTTACTTAACATATTTTAGTTAATTAGCATACTTACTGTGACGGTTATCCCGCCATCTCATTTACGCCAGTTTCAAGAAACATGCATAACAAAGGCGGAATCCAGGCCGTAATGAACTCACGTTTAAAAAACAAATTGTTTCGTTAAAAATAATTTTGCGCTTAATTTTGCTTATACCTTTGTCACTTGAATTGAACTCACGGGAGCAATATAGTTTTTATTTATTTACTCAACTCATCCTACTTCGTTTAAAAAAAGTCATTGCAGTGTCACGAAGAAAATTAGGTCGTACCCCGCACCTCCACCACTTTTGTAACGAAGAGAATTTAAAGGACTCCTCTTTTCTCCGTTGATTAAAGATGCTGACATTAACAAATACAACTTTTTATTTAAGTGATAGGATATAAAATCTTTACAACAACTATGGCCAATTCGTCATTAAATGTTGGGGGGAACAATCCTAACCTAAGGAAACCTTCCCTGCCGTCCTCCCTGACCACACACACCCTCAGCGGGGGCCCCGACCACAGCCAAACTCGACAAACACAGTTCCACACAAAGGCGGGCGAGCCGAACTCCTCCACAGCCGTAAGGGGTCCCAAGTTTGCGAGCTAGCCGACGGAAGACTCCACAGCCGAAGGGGGTTCGGACGTGCAGGTTGGTTTTCCAGAGGCAGGGAGATGTTCACGGCATGGTATCCGGGGGCCAAGCGCCTTACGGCCCCTCTGGTGGCCGCTTATATTGAGTTCAGCAGCATTCTGGGGTCCTTCAGTCCACCAATCAGAAAGTTTGGGAAGGACCAATCAAGAGGGGTTTTCTTAGAGCCTATCAAAGGCTCGGAACCTAAAGCAAATACGAACATTCCAAAACACGCGCATATACGAGACAGAACACATTCCAAACGAAGCTCACAAGAGCAGCCATAAACAACAGAAAGCACATACGTACGTAGACAGAGAAGTTACACATACACAGCGCAAAACCACCTCCGAAGTAGAGATCCCAAATGCAAACATACACAAGACAAAACGTTTCCAACACGGGGTTCTATAAACTAAGTGCAGCGTTACGGCGTTCACGTTCTCCCCCATTTGGGGCCCCCCGACTTCGGTGGAATCCAACAGCCGCCCGTGTTAGACGGAAAGAAATCTCGGAGAAGGCAAAAACATAAAGTGAAGCTAGACTAAATACTCGCGCGAGCAAAACTTCGCGACAGCAGGACCATGATAAAGTACATTGCGCTTGATATTTTTTTTCTATCAAAGCAAATCTTTTAAGTCACCTGTTTTATGTTCTGACTTGGTGTATAGGCCCTTGGTAGCCCGCTTAAAAAGATTTCTCACCTACTTTCACATCTCTTTTTGGTTCACATACACCAATAACTACATGCTTACTACATTCAATCGAACGGCCATATGTTGCTATGTATGTGTTACCGTCTCAACAACTAACTTCAGTCAGTGACAGGTACAGAACGCTCTAGAAGCTCCGCCTCCAGCGCGCACTTTCCACCTTCCATAGCACCGCGGCGTTTTGTGAGCACGCACACCCAAAGCACAATGGAAGGCAGCGAGCGCGTGCCGGAAGTGGGGCTTCGAGACACCATCATTAACCTGTCACAGATCATAATGGCAAAAGCACAGTGAAACCTTTTTTTTTTTTTCATGCGGCGACTTGTAACCACTGTCACGACCTTCGTCAACCTCCTAGTTTATTTGGAGTGCGTGACGGCCTGAGTTGATCTGTTTCAGAATATCATGGATTGAAGCAAAGGCTGCATCAAGTCAGGTCAACCAATCAGGCATTCCCAATGCAGATTGGCACTGAGTCGGTTCATTGATCAGTCAAACAACTGTCGCCAATCCGGCAAGTCACTGCCACTTTCAACCGATTGACTTACCCAATCCAGGTTCAGAAATGGTTCATTGCGCGCGAGTCTTTCAAGACGTTGGGATTCTTCCGCGGCTTCTTTACAGTTCAAGTAATGTTCACACAAACGTCCGATCGAGCGAAATGCGCACCGACTGCAGCATGCAATATCGGTTATTGGAACACTCCTATTAATGAAAAATCGCCCTCAACCAGCGGAAGTCGAAATGCCTAATCACAGGAAGTCGCACTTTGCTTATTACGCGTTACCGTAAACGGCAGACAATAATGAAAATATTTATAGAAATGTTTAACACAACGTTCTGTTATGGGTGAACTATTTCACTTCAAGAGTTTAATGTGAACAAAATGCTAGAAAGAACTTTCCTGTAGTATCATCCACTAGAACACTGAGAACCCACTTACCCTGTCTAAAGAATGAATCGTTGATAACATATAAATAGGCAAATAATACCAATATTTTATAAAACATAGACTGTGAACAATCATGTGCTTGCACAGTTTCCGCGGAGCATACGAGCACCTTATCCCGGCTATTTAGAAAGTCTAACGAACGACCAACCCTAAATTCCGTCATGATTGCATATGGGATTAAGACACAAGCACTAAAATCAATTCCTGTTTACTACCGTCAGTAGATTATTTGGCTGTGTTTTCTTTTTTTTTTTCAATTTGACAGTTCCTGCATTAACCATAAATCTTACTGATCACCTTTCTCTGCGTTTCCCAAAGAATTCTACGTAAGTATGTATTCAGAAGCGCCGACAACATCAGTATAATGAATTTTAATACAAATATTAAGTAGCGGTTGAACGTTCTCAAAAGTAGGGGCAGCGCTTCAATAAGACTATATCTCATGATTTAGACAAATGTCAGCATTTGTCTTACTTCAGTTCCAATTATTAATAACCGCTGAAAGGTCAAGAACCATAGTGCAGGACATATATATCCCGGCATTTATAATGTTGCGATTTTTGTTTAGGTCTTATACCAAGTGGTGTTGCGACCAGATCAATTGTACCCACCTTCAAACCATATAGGGCGTACAAATTAAATAAGACGAACCGCCTACACTAACTAACATACGGCACACGACAAGTTATGTGTCGTGTGCTGAAGACAGGAGACAGCCAATCACAACGAAGAATAAAAAATATACTAGTAAATGACGAAGCTCAGAATACCATAGGCAAAAAGAGTGATAAGCGTGGTAACAATTAGTACGTCGTTTCAGTTTTCTATGGTTCCTGCTCGTATCGCGCTTCCACATCTAATCGCATCCTGATGTTAACCATTCTCTGAAGGAAATTGAATTCAAAGACACTTTTAGAATGAAGTACCCTTCTGCCCTTACCCTCGGGCCCAGGCCTTTCACCCCCAAAAACACATATTAAGTTTCAATGGCTTCCTATTGACAGCAAGATAAGAAGATAACGTAAGATAAGATAAGAGTAAGATAAGGTAAGACTGCCCACTCCTCGTTGTATTGAAGTTGCCTGTAAGTGCACACAGAGATATAGTCCCTCGACAAGGCAGGGTTGCTGTATAGCCGGAGTCTATACCGCGTAGCAACAGGCTTCTGCGACAAACCGCCTCGAAAACGAGAGATAACAACAATAAAAAGAGTCGAAGCAAAACTACATTTCGCCTGAATGGATACTGGAGGGACGCCGATTGAGCCGCGGGACCCATGACCCGAGCAGAACGAGATTTTAAGGCGGGAATGGCGGCATTCTTGAAGACGAAATGACGTCAACTTCCAAACAGCGTTTTCTTCGTTTTCGTTCCGGGCTGGACAAGACCGCAGCCAATTGACCAGTACGCACGATACGGCTCCGCGCAGTATAAAAACGGCAGACCCTTCGGTTGGACGGCAGTCGCAGTCAGCCTCTCTGGACACTGGAAACATGATCGCTCAGGTGAGTAAGTCGGTCCCCGCCGCTGATAGACGAAGAACCGCTCGAAATGCTAGAATCCCTACTTGCTACGTTCTGACTGACATCTATGCATCCCTTAAACAAGGCGGTTATAGGAATGCTTAATTAAGAAAGTAAATATGTCGGTTGTAATACTTTTCAAATCAAGTTTGGGGGGTTTTGCGTACGAAATCATCGAGGGGCATCTGGCACGCCCCAGCAAAGAATCTGAGTAATAATTTCGGCCGCGCGTGGATCTTTTAACGTGCAACCACATTTTTCGGTTCGACGGCACCTTATCCGCAATAAGCCTCCGTCGGATTGCAGGCACTTCGGCTGAGGTTTGAACCGGCAAACTGGAGATTCGTACGTCAGAGCTTTGCCTTCAACTCATTGAGACTTTTCCTGTAATATCGAGCAGCAGTAAGAGGTATCGACATTCGAAACAGTTGCTGAGGCTTCAAAAAATATGAAACTCCCTATATTATCTTCTCTAGATTGAAGCACTCTATTTAATTCTTTAATGGGTTCAGAAAACTGGTAAATAACTCTGCTCGCCGACGAACGTGTTTGACACGCCGAGAAACGTTACCGTTCCAACCAGGCTTCAGCGGCTCTTGGCAGAGTCCACTGTGCTCTGGAGAAACTGACTCGTTTGACATTGTGCTGCAAGATTCTTTACCTATGTTAATGAGTACGGCATTTACCTTTTGAAATACGTGTTACCGTTTAGCTGGCCGACGGCGAGAAACCTTGTGTGCGTCACTTTGTGTGTGTTACTTTTTGTGCGTCACTTTGCGTGCGTCACTTTGATCTCCTGTATGATAGACGTCGCTCCAACGAACAAAAAATTAAAATGGCCTTACTTTGATCTCTTGGTGGATGACTGTTCGAGGCAATGATTAATCTCACTACGACGACCAAGAGATCTTAAGCTGCCATGCTATCTTGATTTTCTAACCATATGATAGCATTTCTTATCAAATTTCTATAAATCACGATAATTACTTATTCACGTGTTCCATGGAAATGTAGATGCACCGCTGTTGATAAAAAAGAGTCCGACCACATTCAGGCAAATATTAATAGTAGGAAGGTAAGTTATCGGGATATTTGCTTATTACTGCATAAATGTAATCGAAACATATTCTAAACGAAACAGGACAAAATATTGTTTATTTTACACTCACTGTGCATATCGGAAATATGCTATGGTTTTCGGTGTTGTAAACTTGTTATGCTTACTTTTATTTAATCCCACAGAAACGTTTTGCTTTCGTGCCTCGTTATAATTATGTGTCTCCTTAATTAAGTTTAAAGACGCATTATGTTTTATGTGAACCCCGTTCTTGTGATTTGTCGAATAGAAATATCCTATTTATTTCCTTACTATGATATTGTAAGAACCTCGAGGTTTGATAGAGAATTACCAAAGTAAATTTTAGTGTAAAAAATGCACATGAAAGAAAAGAACGAATGCGCATAATCCTTTATTTCGAGAAATAAATATGTAGTATTCCTAAAGTATAGATCTCAGTGATATGTCAAAACCGGTGGAAATGCAGCAAAATTAAATCTTAATTTTGAATGGAAGCGTTCTGAAAGTACGCTGTGAACAATCGCGTATTTAAGACAGTTAAAGAAAATATGAATACGCAGCAACACTAACAGAGTTCTAAGAATCATGAGCCACAAACTATGACCCCAAAACGTAAAGGAGACTGTCGTTCACAGGCGCACCATTTTTTGTTGAAGTCTTGGGGTTCTTGCTGCACCTAGACATGTGTGTGTGCCATTTGTTTTTTTTCCTAGGGAAACTTATCAGTTGTATTTAAAGGCATTACACAAGCATTTCGTGTTTTTTATGTTTTTTTAGGTGGCTGGTAATTACTTCTATTTTCATTTTTATTTCGAATTACCGCACAGCGCCTGAGGCGTTATTTCCGGTGGACTGGAAAGTGTGTGTGTGTGTGGGGGGGGGGGGGGGGGGGGGTACAAATTTAAAGCAGAAAAATAGAGTAAATGTTCATATGCAATAAAAAAAAATGCGCAAGCTCGCGCGATAAATAAAGACATCCTTTTTGGATCGCTCACATGTACTGCTTTACGTTCAAAGCTAACAAAATTTAAATTTATAAACCACTTTATTTTATTGCACTAAAACGTGAAAGAGAAACTCCGTATTAAAGCCATTACTTGTTAAAGTGCGCATACAACATAAGACAGCGTGTCGCGAGTCACCGGACCCTGTAGACCTAAAGCAATCGAAATAACGATGGTCACTCTGAAATTACCTTCATCATTTTGTCTCTGGCAAAAAAAAAGAGAAATATCCGAATTATATAACTTTTGAGCATAGGCAATCGAAACCACAATCAAATATGTATATTTTTACAAGTATTAAAGAGTGTCTGAAAAAGCAGCGTCACAACTCGAGATGACTATCAATTAATCTAATATTTCTCTTTTTACCTCTCCAGGTGACTCTCGTTCTGGGCCTCGTAGCCGTTGCACTTGGAGGAGGACACCATGGAGGCCACAGCCAGACCTACAGAAACCAGGACGTAAGTGTCCCCAGAAAACTTTTCCTTTTCGTGCGGCCGCTGGGGGAGGTGTTAGAAGAACGCCTAACGTCGCGGCCGGCGTTTTAAAGATCGTTGAAGGTCTACTCGCAACGGCGCCTCAAAGTCGTTTGTTCGAAACACGCCATATGTGAAGCGCGCTGCTGAAAACTTCAGATATCCAAAGAGATGCGGGAATTTGTCTTCCCAAATTCGGTATAAACAAAGCGTTAAGGTAGTCGAAGACACTTGGGGTTCAAGCGTATTTATTCGGTCAAATGGTTAGATCACAACCTTATGATAAAACGCATCTCAATAAATAAAAATATTGAAGATACTAGGAAGAACTTGAAAGTTCTCGGAAGCCTCCTCTGACTTCGATGTTTCGTTTAGCATTGGTACATTGTGACCCTTCTCTATACTCTTCTTCGGTGGTTCCAGGACTAATCGTAGCCATTATGATTACACTTCCCTGGTGGTACAGCAATTTTATGGCAGGCGACCATTTTCTCTAGAAACGTTAAAGAAATATCTTCAGAGATTAATTTATTTTGGCTTTTTTTGTTGTTGTTTTGTTTTTCGTGAAAAAGTAAACTCAAATAAAGTTTCAAGTCTAGGCTGCCTATCCAAGGTTTTTAGGCTGTCAAAGGTTCTAGAAACCTCCAGATTGCAGTAATGTCAAATAATTTCCAAGAATCAGAAAGCTCGCCAAAGATTCCAAAACGCTTCTTTTTTTTTTTTTTTTTTTTTTTTTACAGCGGAGTGGTGAGGGCTAGTTTCTTTCAGGATTGTGCCCGGGTACCAAACAAATGTCGACACAACACTCTGATTGCCGCCGTCGCTCAAAGATGGCGGTAGCTGTGCAGAGTGTTGTGTTTGCCGGTTGTCTGCTTGCCGCCGTCGCTCATGGATCGCGGCAGCCTTTCCAGCCTCGACAACCAGACAACTGGTTGCTGCCGTCGCTCATAGATGGTGGGCAACATTTCTTCGGAGGAACAAGGGTGAGGACGGAACGAGCGGCGATGTGCGCAGCAGCGCGAATGGTTCCGCAACCGCCGCGAGGCCGCTATCGCCTAAAATTCCACTGCGTCGAGCGCTTCAGATTCCCTTGCGAAAGAAGGGCAGATCGCTCGCCTAAAAATCCACCGCCGAGAACAGAAGCTACAGCTCCGCTGCTCTTCCTTCTTCACCAAAACAAAAAAACTTAATTTTTTTTTTTTTTTTTTTGCTGTTGTTGCTTTTTATCTGATTTTATTTGTTGGACACGCAGGACCACGGACACTACCGGTTCGGCTACGACATCGCCAACGGCTACGGCGCAGTCAACGGTCGCCACGAGAAAGGTGCCGCCTACGGCCCGGTCCACGGCTCCTATTACCTGGGTGACGTCGACGGGCGCCACCGCCGCGTCGAGTACGTGGCCGACAAGCTCGGCTTCCGCGCGGTCGTCAAGACCAACGAGCCCGGCACCAAGACCAGCCTGCCCGCCGCCGCCCCCTATGTCACCGCTCACGGAAAGAACGTGCCTGCTTACGGACACGGAGGGTACGGCGGCGGATACGGAGGTCACGGATACTTCGGCTGAGAGGTGGATGGTGCACCGGCGAAAAGCCTTCGCTGAGAAGTAGCGGTTCATCGAAGATTGATGTGAACGCTGTGGCTGATGGGAGGGTAGGGATACGGAAGTTTGATTGAAGGCGAATAAATAGACCATTTGAATTTGAGGTATCGCTTGCTTTGGAAGTAAACCATTCACGGAAAGAACGTGCCTGCTTACGGACAGGGAGGATACGGGGGCGGATACAGAGGTCACGGATACCTCGGCTGAGAGGTGGATGGTGCACCGGCGAAAAGCCTTCGAAGAGAAGTTGCGGTTCATCGAAGATTGATGTGAACGCTGTGGCTGATGGGAGGGTAGGGATACGGGAGTTTGGTTGAAGGCGAATAAATAGACCGTTGGAATTTGAGGTCTCGCTTGCTTTGGAAGTAAATCATTCACGGGAAGAACTTGCCTACTTGAGGACAGTGAGAATACTTATACGGAGGTCGCGGTTACTGTGGCTAAGTGGTGGACGTTGCTCTGGCGAAAAGACTTCGCAGAGAAGTAGCGGTTCATCGAAGATTGATGCGAACGCTGTGGCTGGTGGGAGGGTAGGAATACGGGAGCTTGGTTGAAGGGGAATAAATAGACCGTTTAAATTTGAGGTCTCGCTTGCTTTGGAAGTAAATCACTCACGGCAAGGACTTGCCTACTTGCGGACAGGGAGGATACGGCTACGGTAGACACGGATACTAAGGCTGAGTGGTGAACGGTGCTCCGGCGAAAGGTCTTTGCTCGGATGTAGGAGCCCCATCAAGGATTCGCGTGACAACATTGTGGCTGGCGGACGGGTAAAGGTTGGGAGAGTTTTTTGAAGGCCTATGATTAGATTTGAAGCCCCGCTTGATTTGAAAGCCGACCCCGCTCACTGAAGAAATCTGGAGCAACTTCTCTCCCATAAAGCTTTTGGGAGGGCCAATATCTGCAATTTTTCGAGGGAGCTCGACGAATGACAATGCTAGTAATAGGTTTAGACCTAACCAACAGGCTGCGTTGTGGCAATGAGAACGTTGAAACGTCAAGCTCAGCGCCACAGCACATACTGGAAAGGGTCCATAACAGATATCGATGTAAAATACCCGCCTGTTTACTTTTCTACAGAGTATACGTTGTGAGAAAGTCATAACGTTCAACGGAGAGCAATCAGTGATTGACAAAACCTAGGTAATAGTGCAAATTGAAAAAAAAAAAAAATACCGCGAAGTATTGTTATTATGATTCTCTCGCGCAGATGGTTTTTTCTTGTCACATGTTTTTCAGACTTGGGCTATTCGCTGGGAATCATCCGTAGATTCCAGTGATTGGTCCACCGGCTGTTTCGCGGGTAAGCACACACGCAGTAATGTTTTGGAGTGTTAACTTGACAGTTGCTTACTGGGAGACTTTCTTTCATCATAATGTAACACTTGAGACTGTCGTGCAGGAAAGTTAATAAACTCTCAAGTCGACGAAAAAGACAACAGCAGGAAAGCGTTGCCTTTTCCTTCGACTTTAAAGTTCTTAATTTTCCCGAATCACAGACACTATCAGGTGTTACATTATGATTCATTCTTACCAACTCGTCTGTACATTGACTGGCAACAGAAAGAATAAAAGAAACTAGGGACAAGGGACGACGAACTTGCTTTTTGTTGCACATTCCGCACGTTCGAGATGATCCGAACAAGTGTGATGTTCTGTGTGCGTTGATTAAAGCACGTTTTTAAGAAATAGTCGCTTCCATGAAACATTCGTATTCTGCGTGCAATGTACCAATAATAGGCTTATCTCTTCTCTAATTTGTACAGATCTTAGTTCTTTCCAGCCACATGCTCTACCCTAACCAGTACTAGCTTATTAATTCTACTCATTTTGCTCCACGCTAATAGGCAACGGCACCACAAGCACTTATCTCGTGATTATTGAGCAACTAATCCTTAAAAAAAACCTCACACATATTAGACGCCCGTTACACTATGCTGGCGCACCTGCTCTATCTAATCCCCCGTTAATTGCAGCCCCCTCGGACTTCTCCACAGCAGTTACCACATCCCGTGACGATGCCACCCACAGTACAAAAGGGTTCCAGCCAAAAGTTTAAACCCCCTTTTCGTGTGTGTGTGTGTGTGTTTGTTTGTGTGTGTGTGTGTGCGTGCGTGCGTGCGTGTGCGTCCGTGCGTGCATGTGTGCCCGCGTGCGTGCGCGTGCGTGTACGTGTGCGCGCGCGCGTGTGTGTGTATGTGTGTGTGTGTGTGTGTGACCTGCCAAACTACGACTCTTTCTTTTTCCGCTAAATTTCCGCCAACATCTCAGTTGTTCTTAGAAGCGTGCGAAGGTCACCCTCCGCGTAACGCGAGAAACGCATAATGTTCTCGCTTTTGAAACAAACAGAGAAGCTAGTACGTTTCTCTTTTTCTCTGTATGCGGCTGTCTTGGTGGCGCAGAAAAGACCCACACGCTCGCGCGAAATTGCCGGCCTCTGTGAGCCGAGAAGGGCTACGCTAAGCCTCTGCACGAGTCAACAGGACCCACCCCCACCCTCCAGTTATGATCGCCCAAATTCGCCTCAATGACCGCCAGCAGCGCCTGGAGACACGGCGCAGGGTCATGAGCATTCCTGAGCAAATGGAGGTCCGACTTACTGCCCAGCAATCACGTGACCTCCTCTCCATTATGGCACCCGACATACCCCGCCCTTTTACCCTCTTTAAGCTCACCCACGTTGAAACCGAAAGTAACAAAAGTGACGACAAAAGAGGAGGCGCGTCGTCTGGTCCTGGTATAAAATGGGAACTGCCCAGGGGTGCGGTCAGTGGGAGTACCAGGATACCGTGGAACCATGTTTGCACAGGTGAGAGCTCGATGTCGAGCACCGCGCTGTAGGTGTTTTCCTTGCAAGTTATCGCGAATCGTGGGTTGTCCACGCAGATTAATGTTGCAATCGAATCACTTTGCAACAAGGGTGCTGCTGGCGGTTGTCTTTGCAAGTGTTGTTAATACTCCGAGGGATTCGATGCGTCAATTTTCTCGCGGGGTACTTGGGAGAGCCAGTAGCTGTAGTCTACGGAATGACGAGGCTGAAAATATCTTTATACCTGAAAAACATTCTGCGCTGTGTCACTGAGCATGACGTAAGCACTGCTTACGTCAACTTTGTTAACGTAAGACCATTGTGCTTACGCTTACAATTGTGAGAGAGAGTAAATCTGTGGCTCGATCTGACATTTGATTGGCTAGTCGAGAATTCAGCCTGAATAATCAATTAGTTTACTTAAAATGGACAGATAGTTTGTTCACTTTTCGAGAACTGCAGTAGGTCTAGAAGAGAAGGAAAACTAAAACTTAATAATCATTGTTAAGAGCTTGGCAGCCTTAAACTTGTTTCGCCAAACATATTGGAAGATGACATAATCACTCGCGCCAGAAGAAAAAATGACGAGGCATCGATATAAACTCGTTCAAGAAATCAATCTGGATTGTTTTCGTTTCACACCAAGTTCCGCAGTCGACGCTTTAGTCAGTTACAGGTTAAGAAAAGTTTTCGAGGGAAAGGAGGACAGGGGAGGAGGAAGCAGACAAAATGCTGGAGAGAAAAAGAGGAAACCACCTCCTCTCTTCAACATTCCGTCTGCTTCCTCCTACCCAGCCAAAAAGCGTTTCTTAACCTGTCACTGACTATAGCATCCGGTGGAACCAATCAAGCAACACCAAAAGTTCACCATCGCGCATCGTGGCCGTCGTGGAGATAAGGCCCTTCCGTACAAACAGCACATCACAAACAGAAGCAGTATACGTTACGCGCGCGAAACGGAGACAGCTGATAGCAGGAGAGCGTGACCGAGAGAACCTGGTCGTCATGGAAACCATCAGTCTTCCTCCCCGTCCAACTTATTCGAAGTCCCGCGGAAGAAATATTCTATACAGCGCGGACCGACTGGGTCGCGCTGTTTCACTTTCTATACTATATATATTGAAAAAAAAAAAAACAGTTTTGTGCGTTGAAAGAGGTTATAACGAGAGAGACGGACATCCGTATTATCCATGTGTAGAGTAACGTGTAACGGAACCGGAAGTACGCGTGGCGCGAAATTTCCTCCGAGTTTCTCGGCCAATGGGAGACTCTTAATGGGCACCGCGATGTGAGTATGGGACAAACAACCGCGTTGTTAAAGCATTGCCGTGACAACGGGATTGTTTGCCCCATATTTACACGCTGGCGACACACGTATACTCTACTCATTACGAGTGATCAAATTAACGTTAATCAATTACTTTTAGAGTCATTATATAATCATTCGATTACTTTTATAAGGTAGTAATCGTGAGAGAAATCCGTTACTATGTTTCCTTCTCCACACAAGTTTCCTACCGAGAAATTCTCAAACCAAATCTCGGACAGGTGGATCGGCGGTTTACCACTATTGGTGGATTACGAAGATTAGTAATTCGAAGTTGGTCGATTCTTGTCCAACAATGAACAGAACGAAAGACACGTGTTCGGCCCTGCAGAAAAATGTGTCGTTTTGAAAACCTGAAGTAATCGGAAAAGTAACTGTTGCTTTTTTAGGTAAGAGCCAATTACTTTTTCTTGAGTAATCGAGTAACCCAATTAAATACTTTTAACCGAGAGTAATTCGAATTGGAATCGATTCCATTTTTCGATTAACGCTTACAGACTGGGTGGCGTTCACCGAATCGGTGTCGAACGGGTGAGGTTCGGAGCCCGACACTCGCCTGGCCAGTTGAAAGTCGGAGCGAGGCAGACGTTGAGAGACACCTCGCCGGGGTGCGTCATGCAGCGCCGGTCGTCGTAGCCCAGCTTTGGAAAGCGAGCATATCAGAGGTCCTAAACTCGTCAAGCACAAAGTTGGCGCCAATAGTTCGCGGAGCGCACCGATTCGACGCCGGCGACAAAATCGCGACGTCATCGTCGTCCCATCGACCCGCTCCATGAACTTCGGACCCAACTCTGTGTTTGACGAGTTTAGAGCCTCGGGGACTCTAAACTCGTCAGACCCAAAGTATGGGCCGAAGCCCACGGAGTGCACTAATTGGACTATCCCGACGATGACTTGGCACTTTTGTCGCCGGCGTCCAATCGGCGCTCTCCGTTAACATCCGGCACCCACTTTGTGTTTGACGAGTTTAGGGCCCCTGATGATAGAAAACCCGCAAAATGACGAGGGCCCGTGACGATGCGCACTTACCGCAGCTTGATTGACTCGATCGGATCCTGGCATCGGCTGCTCGCGGACCTGGTACCAAACAAAGTGTTATAGAACTTCGCAAAAAATCGCCTTCTGCGCGCATCCATCTTGGTCTGCTGGGCTGTGGAACGCATTCTGCGCGTGCGCTGTTGCTCTGCTGTGGGGTAGATCAGACGTTGCGCATGGGTCCACAGCTGAGTGACTCAGCATTTTTCGCCCAGGGTGAGAAACGATGGAAAGGCCTATGGAACCAGCGTCTTTACTAAGACTGCGTGAAAGAACGCCTGCCAAAGCCTGAAGCGCCCGAGCACTTGAGACTCGACTTCACGTGTCACTCCGCTCGTGCGCTGGCCTTGGCACTCTATTCTGTCGCGCAGTCTTCTCCGAGACTCTGTTTCTATGCTTCGTTTTACGCTAAGTCCGGACGCAGCCGACGCTACGAGCTGAGGGAACCAATCAGAGGGCGTCAAAAGCGCACCAACATAGTGTCCCTCGTGTTTCTGCGCGTGTTCTATGGACGCTGTAGCAATCGTAACCAGAAAAGGCCTAGTGACTTCCGCTTTAGACGCTGCTTGATTGATCCCGTTACCTCGTGGCTTCGGCTACGGCTCAACTTAAGCTCGAAAGAAGTATTACGAGCCGGACTGGGCAACGAATTCTGAGCAGATGAACGCCCTGCTCAGCATCTCAAAGCCGCACGCAACTTTAGTGGCAAAGGTTATCAATGTCTGGTCAGTTGCTAAACCCCTCGCGTATATCGCAATGTCTTTTTTTCTCTGAGTGTTTCCCCAAGAAAGTAGTCCCAATATGTTTTTAGGGCACACATCCGAACAAAGTGAAAACCAAATGCCAATCTTCACTTTACTTCTATTGTTTTATGTTACATAGAAAATCCTAAAGAACGTTAGATTTGCGCATACCTAATTCTAAGACCGCAGATAGTATATTGTCACTTAGCTTATACATCTGCCTTTGGTCACAGGGCCTTATTTAAATCTACTCATTTTGCTGGCACGTTCAGCGCTGAATATCCTCAATATACAGTCATTATTGAGAGTTCATAATTTGAAGGTTAAGTCTGAAAGAGGTCGGTATCGTGAAAGCAGTCAAGAAGATACTGATCCAATCCCCCGAATGGTTACATACGGTCCTAATATGATTCCCTAGAAAATGTAATAACGCAACTACAAATTGTTACGAACAAAAATTGGCTACGAGCGTGAATTTTTGTGGCCTTACTCGTTGTCACTGACAGCTTAATAAATACCGGGTGCGACTAGGCTCCAGGATTTTCTTATCGCTCCGCACTCAATAAGATTGTGCCATCTGCAAATCTTATTGAGCAGGGGTTGTGGTACGCCGAGTTCCGACTGGCTTAGACTAGAAGAATAGTAGGTAGACCGCGATGCTGGATGCCTTTAGGTCTACCCACTATCCTTTCAATCGGAGCCAATCGGAGTCGGCGCTCCAAAGTCACCGCAACCCCCCTCCCGCTGAAGCGGACGAACTTACGCTCCGCGTAGCAACGCCGAAGAACTAATCGCGAAGTAAGAAACGCGATCGTGCTGGGGCGACGTCCCGCAATCGTTAAGTTGTCAATCGTTATAGATGAGCAATTTTAAACGTTGAATGTCTCTTCGAACAGATTTCGGTGATCTGCGGACTAGTCGCTGTGGCCACGGCCGGTGTTGTGGGTCCCTACGGTGGCTTCAGCAGGCAACACCGCAAACAAGATGTGAGTGTGATACCATCGTTCGTACACCCGTGCACCACTCACTGACGGATGTGGCGTCGCGGCCCTTCCTGCGCCTGGTACCGAATTTCTTGCAGTGTGGCGGTACACCAATATGTAAAACAAGGGCGCCGTAGAGCCGCAGACAGGCCGCTCAGACATCATACAAAGGACACAGCGTTCGTTGCAGACATTATACTTCGCCTCATCCTACGACGGACTAGAGGCCAAAGCCACGGGCCGCTAGGTCCGACCTTGTTGCAAGCTAAAATATGACACGCTTAGCATTGGTTAGGGGTGGACGAGTGATACTCCGAGTCCAAAAGCGCTGCATCATTTGTATAGCTTCGACACTGCAAAGAGCCTGTATGACATAGTTTTCTTTGCAATGTAAAATTGTTGAGTCACTCAGTACTATCCAATCCGTACTACCGTCCGCCCCTCCCCATTAGTGATTTGAGACGCGGGCGCCGATACGTACATCGAAGCGAAATACCACGCCACTTGTAAGTGGCTCGTGATCGGATCTGGCGGTCTGTAGCTTCTGCCTTTAGTCCATCGTAGGATGAGACGAAGTATAGTCAGAGAACTATCTGCGGAGACGCCCGAAGCCTGTTCGAATAATGTTCCATACATGTGTATTCATCCAACATCTCCGCAGATAGTGTTTGTATGACCATAGTCTCCTATATACTCACAAAGCCTGGCAGATCGCCACGAGAAGCGGCCTCCGAAATAAAAAAAAAGGTGGAACAGCAGACAACGAATGAGAGGAGAGCCACGTGACTGGCGCCCCGCTGCGGCGAGACGCCGAAACACACTTCTCCCGACCGAACAAGTGTGTTTCGGGTTCTCGCCGCTGCAAAAGCTGTGCGCTCACATCCAGGTTCCCCGAGAAATGGCTCTTTGATGCTTCGTGCTACCAGATCCTCGCGTTCCGAATCGGCGACCGGGCACTGTATATGGCTCCGTCGTCGAACTGCCAGGCTTCGTGTGTATAGAGGAGGCTACGGTACGACCCATGTGACAGGGACAAGGAAGAAACATGCCTGAGGCAGTCTGCATGCATACAACTCTTGTATGACCAATGTGACAGCCGGACTGTCGTAGAAGGAAGAAACGTGTCTCAGACGGTGTTTGCAGACTCACTTGCATGATGCATTAGCTGCGTGACCGCGACTAAACGAGTCAAGAACCATAGACAAAACGCACTTGAACATTTAAAAAGAAATATGTATATGTGAAAGCCGACTAGAAGTTCACAGTCCTTACTAGCTTCGTTCTATTTACCTCCTCCTCCCGCACCGGTGTATAGGCTCCTTGCACTGACGTCATGTCGCACACTTTTGAACACCAAGTAAAAGGAGGAGAGGGAAGCTGCTTTTGTAAGAATTTTGAGTGACAGGTTTATCTTCTATAATCTTCTGGGGGGAGAATAGCGACGCCTGTACAAATCCGGAAGGCAGAAAGGAGGGTCCTGATAAGAGGGGAGCTCCTTCTTCCCCTCTTCTCTGGAGGGCAACGGAAATGACGTTATGTGCAAGGAGTGTATACACCTTTGCAAGTGGGATCCCGGCTTAACCTCGAACCGCGCGCCAAGGTGAGGCGGACCTACTCTCCAGCCAGGACGTTCGCTGGTTGTCGTACAGTGTTGCCAAGCGTCTCTCGCCGAAGCGCACACCACTGAGCGCAGAAAGAAATTGAAAAAAATATTTATAAAACGTACACGCGTCGTCTTCGACCGCGAAAGAGCACGGATAATTAAATAAAATGCCTAAACCGGTAACAAATCGAAAAATTTCAAAAAGATCTAAAGTCTTAAGGCGCTCTTCAGAATCCGCCACAAGTCGCATGGCCTTTGCATCAACGATGGCTGCGCTCAAGGCAGCTCTGGCTTCCACAACATGCAGGAACAGAGGCTGCGATCGTTATAGAGTCAGCTCCAACCCTTAAAGATGCCCCGTCTTACAATATGTGATGATACGATTCTGTGGGGATACCTCCTCCTGCGTTCCGAGACGGTAAGTGTGCCGCTAACGTTAGCCATCGGCGATGCAGCAAACGGCACCATCTTGTCATCGCGCACCCCACTGACGTGCCCCTGGCGCACCCCAGCATGGCGGAAACGGTACGGGGCGCCAGCATCGCTGAAAATGGCAGCGCACAGGAGCCTTTCGTGCAAACGTGTATAGAAAAGTGTAGGAAGGTGTACTTCCGGTCCTATCTCAATATACATACCGGAAGTACATTGCCCTAGACTTTTCTGCACCGATGCAGGAGGTGCAGGTGAACAGAACGAAGATAATGTGATAATTCTCTCATTATAACCGTAGCCATTCTCAGATAATAGAGAGTTTTAGTAGATCGTACGCTGCAGAAAGCGGACCCAGCGGGGGGCGCGTGCTCGATCCTCGCTTCGAAGTGACAGCACGAGCTCCCTCTAGCAAAGCGAACGTCTAACGTACGGTTTCACTAAAATTCCCTGCTAGGGAGTTTTAGTGGATCGTTTTCAAAGGCCCGCTACCGCTGGGGGCGCGCGCTTCGGAGCATGCGTCGAAGTGGCATGCGCGAGCCCCCGCTACAAACGCTGTGGCCCGAAAACACGATCTACCAAAATTCTTAATACCCGTGCCACACGGGCAACTCGAATGCCATTTACAACGAATGACATTTGAGCGGACGGCCAATCAGCGCGCGACACTCCGGGCGCAGCGCATTCCACGTGCGACAGGTTGCGAGCTGATTCGCCGATCACAGAAATGTCATTCGTTGTAAATGGCATTCGAGTTGCCCGTGTGGCACGGGTATTATACTCTAGACGCTTCGCTAACATGGTGTGTACCCGTACTCCTAATTTCAAATTACCGGTGAATTTCTATTTAAGCTCTAGTTTTGTATCGTGCTAAAACGCTGATGTCATAGGATGCGGGGACACAATTGAGCATCTGTTGCAGCGAGTAAGAACTTCAACTTAGATAACAGTTATTACGGTTCCTCAATTTAACGACACTCAACCTGCTGGGGATTCTTATAATGATGTTAAAGCTTAATTCGTCCGAGCTAAAATGCCTTTAAAGCGTTCCGCAGGTTTTGCGTTCCGCAGGTTTTGAAAAAAAAAAAAAAACTAGTCAATCATATTGAGTTTTGTATTATTTCAATCCGAGTAATAACAATTGATTGTTGCACAAAATGTGTTTAATATTTTATACTTATTTCCCCGCAAAAAGTTAAGAGCGGCTACAAAGTGGAATATTATAAACTTTCAAACCCTTATTCATAAAAAAAAAAAAAAAGAAACAGATCCCGTCTATATTATGTCGCTAGGTTGCACTTTTTTCAAGGCCGTAGAACGATCGTACAAATTTTCATACTCTCGTTTGTCCAAATTTTCTTACGACTTCAAACAACTTCCGCTTAAGTAAAATCGACACCAGCCCTTGACTCATATATGCTTGACCTGACCTGAATTGCTACACGTAGCAAAAACACGAGTCTAATTATAAAAAAGCGCACTTCAAACCAGTCATCAACCCTCTTTAGCGTCCACGCATGCGCAACCAAGTGAAAAGTGCACACTTCAACATCCGTTAGTCAGGAAGAAACCTTCAAACGGCATTGAGCGCAGAAAATACAACGTGAGTTTATCATTTTTTGACTTGACTGGCCTCGCTTACACGCACAAGAATCTAATTTTTTGTTTTAGGCAATAAAACTCTCACTTGACCTTCACGCCTCTGCAGTTTCACTCTGGTAAAAAAAAACGAAGGTCTTTCCTGCTCGACGCTAATTTGGGCGCATCGAAAAACTTTAACTTCATTCCAAGAACTTTTTTCGTGGGCCTGGGCTATATTTCCTGATAACTTCAGAAACGTAGGGAGCTTCGAGTTTTGAGCCTACTGTTACTCCGCAGAAGATGAGATTTCAGCATGAGCCGATAAGTGCTCCAGAGAACGAAGCACGAAGCAAGAAGCGTGGACTTAGTAAGCCACGTCACGCGTTTCCTACACTCTTTCTGACTATGACTACTCACTAAACCTCACCCTCGCACCTGCATTGAAAGATATCAATGTAGAGCGCAAGTTCATCTGCTTCTTTGCTCCGATTGGCTCTGAATCAGTGTTGTGGCCGTTACCGAAAACAAGTAACGAAATAGCGTTACTCGTTAGTCTGGTAAAAAGTAACGCGTTATCGAGCTACGTTACTCTTTTACAAACGTAACGATATACCGTTACCGTTACTTTTCAAAAATAACGAACGTTACTTTTACGCTACTTTTGCGTTACTTTTCTGTTCGAGTACATATGTTCGGCAGAGATGTATGATAAGCCTCCTTAACAAGCTTGGATAAAGATAACAATTTACAGAGTGGTTTCATAGTGTTTTGATGCGCGAAGCAGCTTAATTTTCGGCATGCAGATTAGGCATTGAAACTGTAAATTATCTGATTCTGTCTCCTTTAGTTGATACATTTCATTCAGACCTGCTGGCCATGGCGACGGACTTTCGGTATTCATGTCAATCTCACGCGCAGAATGAGTCGGAGATGCTAGTCAATCGGCTTTTATAAACTACAGCATGCGAACGGGGACTGCTGGAACACAACCAGCCAACCAACACCCCTCATCTGTACGCCGGTTTTAGTAACAGTCCGGTTCATACTATTACCAGTGACTGATTTACTTCACTATCTGGAACAGGACACCGGTTACCAGCACACTGGCTATAATCCCTTGCTGTCTCTTACCAGCAGTAGCTCTTAGTTTTTCTGTTAAAAAAAGAAAAGGTTTCGTGTTTGTAAGTTTTCTTTCCAGGTTTAAAACTTTTTTTTTATCTTTTTATCATGACCTTAGAGAATTAAAGACTAATCAAGCGAAAGATTCTTCTGTGTACAAAAGTGGGTCAGGAACTTGCAGGCAGCGAGGGGGAGAGCGATGGTAAAGATATTCCACAAAGGGTGTTTCTTTTTTGTTTTGTTTTTTTGAAACTAGAAAAATGAGCAAATCGCTTCGCCACTAGTTGTCCACTGTTGTAAACGAATGTCTCTCCACGGCTCTCCCCCCCCCCCCCCCCCCCCCCCCCGCTGTCCATTTCTGCTGCACAAAGCAGGGGGGGGGGGGGAAGAGGAGGGAGGGGAGGAGGCTGTAACGCAGTCGTTCGTTCAAGCCTTGTGGGTGGTGACACGATGAAAAAAAAAGAAAAAGAAAAAGGAGGATGAACAGAATTAGCTGGTAGCCGAAGGTTTGTTTCGCCTTCAACAAGTGAGTTTCTTTTTTTTTTTTTTTTTTTTTTTTACTTTACTGTGACGGATGCTGGTTCCGTGCAGCGATAAGCTGGTGCAGGATTTTGAGATAAGCTCGTGCAGGATTTCACCAGCTTTGGTCAAAAGTAACGAGTAACGAAATTTGATAGCCGATACCGTAAAAAAGTAACGCAAATACTTTACTCGTTAGTCATTCAGAATACTAACGAGTACGTTACTGCGTTAGCGAAAAATGTAACGCGTTACCAGTAACGTCGTTACTAGTAACGCGTTACCTCCAACACTGCGAGTCTGAATGAAGGATAGTGAGTAGACCTCAAGGTACGTTGCTTTGAGGTCTACCCTAGAGTGCCTTCATGTGCGCTTCGCATAGAGTGATGCCAACTGCCTGTTTCCCTTTCCCACACCCTCTTCCACCGCCATTTTGTTCCCCTCATTGTTTCCCCGTGCGCCGGAAAGTGGCCTTTGTGTCCATCGGTACTCCCATCCGAGGGGGAAAATGCTAATCCTCCCTCCGTGGGTTCTACAACGCTGCTCCGAACATGTGAGATAAGGTGCTTGTTTCCGGGAGGGTTATAAGCCCCACGGATTATCGCCGAGGAACAAAATGGCTGCTGGTTCGTCGGCGAGTGGTATTACAAAGGGTGGCATCACCCAAGCAAAGCGCACATGAAGGCTCCCTAGTCTACCCACTATCCTTGAATCAGAGCCAATCAGAGCTCGGCGTGGTTCTGACGTCACCACAACTCCTGCGCAAGAAGCAGACGACTCGCTCTCGGCATAGCGCAAACAACTGATCGCACCTTAGAGTAGGGAGTCAAGTGCACTCAAGTGTTGACGCCGGCATCCTACGACCCAAGCATGACACGGGTTTAGAACGAAGGCCACGTTAGCGTCCTTGCTGGGACTTGCGTTCGGTTCATGCGTCCGACGAACGCTTGGCGTTGAGCTCCGAACATAACGGTACCGTCGTGTGTCATGTGTGTGTCATGAAATGACACACACATGGCACACACCGTCGTTTCATGACACACCGTCGTGTGTCATGAAATGACCGAGCATTACGGAAAGAACTGAACGCGCTTTGATTGACCAACCGTCAATCTTAAGAAACGCAGGTACTATGATAACTCTTCCTGTATCCTGCTTCGGTGCTTGGCAATCTTATTAGACAATCCCAAAATCCTAATCTATGCGGAAAGATAATAAGAATCTGGGGACTCGGTCACTCCCTGCCTTTCTTAGCTGTCCTTAACAACATATATATTACCTTTGCTTATCGGCAAGAAACAGGACGAGTTCGGGGAAATGAACGTTTTAAGAAATACCAGACGCGTGGGTTTTGATATTTCGCAAGGTAAGGGTGACTCAGAACACGACTTGGAACATGCTCAGAACACGACACTAAGCCCAGTAGGAAAAAGCTCTCAGCTCGCAGAAGGCAGATAACGAAATGGTCTATTGGTGGTGTTGGCCTCATCGTGGGTTCTACATAAAAACAAATCCTCCGCAATAACCTTCTTGACGGTGGAAGAGGGGGGGGGGGGGGGGGGGGGGGGGGGTACGGTGTATTTGTAATGCCAACCGAACAGGTCTCATCACAAAATTCAAATATCCGCCCTCTCAACTTTCCTCACCTCGCAGGGCTTCGGCAGCTATAACTTCGGCTACAAGGTCGCGAACGCTCTATAAGTCCTTCTGGCTCCTCACGTTTTCTGCAGTCAAATAAAAAAAAGACGTTTTGTCTTTTTAGCGCTTGAAAAAGGGGGAAGGGGGGGGGGGGGGGAGTGTATTCGACATGCGAACCAGACAAGTCTCATAAAAGCACCGAATCACCACCGCCCACACTATTTCCACCTCCGCAGGACTTCGGCCGCTACAACAACTTCGGCTACAACATCGTGAACGGTCTGGGCGCCACCAACAGCCGCTACGAGAGCGGCTCTGCTTACGGCCCCGTTGTGGGAAGCTACACCCTGGCCGACATCGACGGCCGCGCCAGGCGCGTCGAGTACGTGGCCGACAAGCTGGGCTTCCGGGCCGTTGTGAAGACCAACGAACCTGGCACCAAGACGAGCCTCGCCGCGGCCGCACCCTACATCTCGGCCAAGGGACCCGTGGTGCCTTCAGCCGGCTACGGCTACGGAGCTTTCCCGTTCGCCGGAGGGTTCCGTGGATACGGTGGATTCGGCGGTTTCCACGGCTGATGTGCTCCTTGTGCCACGTCTGCACCCTGTAGTGTGTACCAGACGTTCTTCCCTGTTGCTCGCCTGGTGAGTCGAGATCCAATTTAGAAATGTCTGCCTGCCTTATTTGGAAAGCGTGCAGTGGGCCAGTCAGTGTAATCTATGAATCACGTCCAGAGGTGGTAAGTGAAGGCTTGACTGCGTTGTAGGGGTTTGCATCAAGATACGACTGCGAGTTGCCCATTTAAACAAGTCTGCGAGCTCCTTGCCCGTAGAACGCGGAGACAGCCAATCAGGACGAATAATAAAAGGATCCCAGCGAATGATAAAGTTAACCCTTTTTTGGCGACAGTTGCCTACAGGCAACAAACCACATAATATATTTTTTAATGGTTTCAGTTTCATCACTTTTTTTTCTAGTATTTTGGCAACAGTCTTGACAATCAAAACTACAGCGCCTCCTTGTGAAAATATGCGCGAATAGTTGACGAAAAAAAAATAAGTTTGTCGCGCAAATACGCGGTGACCGAGAAGGGCGTTTTCTCAGGCTTTCGGGCGAGAAATATGGATAAGTGTTTTTCTCTTGCCAATATTATTTTACGATAGGTTACCGGTTTACTTGAGGCTACCGTATGTGTAGATATTATTGTAATTGCACAGTGGTCTGTAGAAGTTACGCAACGGCGCCACCTCTGGACTGTGTTCCCATATACAAGAAAGCTTTAACTTGCAAGTTTGATTACCTTACGATTCTTTTTTTTTTTATTTCAGGCTTTTGCTTTTATTTAGTCTTGGTTAACATTAGTTTCTTAAAAATGAAAGTTTTAACCAATTTTTGTATATCTCAATCAAAGATGCGATTTGCTGAGGGACAATGGGAAAGTGAAGCGCCAAGCTCCTAATTATCACCACCATTATTTATTATCCTTGAAGTTCCTTACGGGAATTACAGAAGGGAATGGTACAGCTACGGAATTTTACACACTAGACGAAGGAACTATTCACATAAATCAGACCTTAAAGTGGTTACAGAGGTGGCAAATTTATTGCACATCTACATAAAATTGAAAGATTAAAACACAGAGGACAAGCACAGGACAACCACTTTGCGTTTCTGTGTTTTTTCTTTCAATTTTATGTATTCATGTTCAACCCGCTCGCCTTCACCGGTTATTGCACATCGCTTGCATGTTTTTTTTCTTTGATTAGCCTTTTTTGTCGTTCGTTGGAATTCTATTGTTCGCATTGATTCGACATATCGTGTTCTGCAGGAATGAGAACTCGCACACTTTTTTGTCTGTGTACCAAAACAACCAAGTGAAGCAACACGTGGTCACAACGGTAACTCGCAGTGTGCTCTAAACAACGCATTCCCTTTCCATTCCACTCCCATTTATTCAATCGCTATACTGAGCAGACGTGCTTTATAGCATCAAAGTCCAGACTGACGGAGAATTAAAAAGAGTATGAATAGGACTGAAAGAGGATGATGGTTCAACTTTTGTTTACCGTGGCTCGGTATCTACAATAAACCCTATGTGATTTATACGCCGATCAGTCAAAACATGATGGCCACCCACCTAATATCGTGTTAGTCCTCCTTCTGCACGCAAGACAGTTCCGACCCGTATTGGTATGGATTATAGAAGTCCTTAGTAAGGAAGAAGATATTACCAGATTTACAAGCACGGGTCGCGAAATTCTGGTAATTAAAAAGCATCTGGTTTATGAGCTACTAACCAGCACCCCATCAAATCCCAGAGATACTCAATTGGATTGATATCTGCCAAGTTAGGTGGCCAGGACATCAACCGGATTTTATTATCCTGTTCTTAAACTCACTGTAGAACAATCCTGGCCTGATGAGTTGTAACATTAGGCAAGGAAGAGCCATGAACGGGTGTAAGTGGTCAGCAATGATGTTGACATAGTCCACAGCTTTCACAGTGTGCTCTCCTTTGTCAAAGTCGCTTAAATCCCCAAAACAAATTTCATTACACGCACACATTGTACAAAATAACACATCTGTATCTCCAGCAGTCGTGCATTACCCTCCGCATCAACTGCTGGTAGCTAATGCGGATGACACGTCAGCTAGGCCTGCTCAATTCCACAGTTTAGGCGTGGTCGTAATGTTCTGGCTGATCAGTGCATGTCCTTCGAGCATTTTGAGTGTGAAGTGACTCTGAAAATATTGTCGAATTTCGGCGATGGGTCACTTCATCAGCGACGAGTTACTGAACATTACTTTATCTACCATCGGTAAATACGAAGTATAACGACTGACTACGTTCAGTTCATTCACAGAGGCTACGCTTAGCCATGGTGTTACCTGAAGGTTCGCTCATACTTCTTTCTATCTGTTTGTGACGCCTACGCCTCCTGACCGGACAAATATATTCTTTATGGGGAGCACAAGTTCGCTTGCTTCTTGTGCAGAGGTTGCGGCGACGTCAGAACACCGAACTCTGATTGGTTGCGATTGGAAGGATAGTGGGTAGACCTGTTGGCAGACCTCAAGGCATCTAGTATCGAAGCCTACCCATTATCCTTTCAATCAGAGCCGATAGATCACTCGCTAAATCCCCAAGCGCCCCGGCCCGCAATTGAGGAATCATGAGAGCAGTGTTCTTCAATCCCCTAGTGAACGGTAATGTCGACCAATTGGATGCTTACGCACGTTTGAGTGCAATCCGGAATCATCCTGAATAAGCGGCGCATAGAGCCCAAAAACCTGTCCTATCACTTTTTTTTTTTCGTCTATGTCATTATTTTTGATACTGTGAATACAAGCCACCTTTCAAAGTGGCCTGACCTGCAGAAATTTCTTACAATATTATAATCCTCGTGGTTGTTGTCTTAGCATGAATTGTTTTAAAAACCAATGCTTCGCAACAACCGAAACAGCTCGGAGTCAGCGGAACGTTAAAAATTACAGAATTTTTAACGTTTCTAAGTTAATTTCACTGTCTTCAAAGCAGTACCACAATGTTAATATTGTAAGAAATTTCTGCAGCTCAGGCCAGGTTGAAGGGTGGTTCAGCATCGAAAACGCTCACATTGACGAGAAATTTCAAAAGTGATATGACAGGCCTTTGGACTCTACACGGCGCTTATTCAGGATGACTCCGGAATACACTCAAAAGTGTGAAAGCATCGAATTGGTCTCAAATGCCGATCACTAGGGAACTGAAAAAACACCGTTCCCGTGATTCCTCGAGTGCGGGCCGGGGCGCTTAGGGGATTCGGCAAATGGTCTATCTGAGCTCGACGTCCTGACATCACCAATCATTATCATCATCATCAAGAAGCAGACGAATTTGCGCTCCGCATAGTTACTGAGAGCTTAAGGAACGGAGAGCGTGACCATTCCCAAGCACCTCATTATCGCGGCGCAGTCAATGGAATAGCGCCGTTAGTCACCGAGAACGAAAAATAACGAATCACGAAGCCGGAAACGTCAACACAATAAGACAGCCCATTGTTTCTTAAACTGCAAGTGGCTGTAGAGTACTGGAATGAATGATGACATTTTAGGTGGCAAGCGGCGATATGAGCTGTAAACGTTATTCCTTATTTATTTCCAGATTTTGTGCTGTGTCTGCTACCACCAGACGGACAAGCTCGAGAGAACTGACCGTCTTCCCTGTTGTGTACATCTTCGTTTTCATTCCTCCCCGCTGCTGAGGTCAACTCTCCAAACTTTGTCAATGTCCTGCGTCCTGCTTTGCCTCGTCTCTGCTCAGCCCTGTCCCGCGTGCTGCTTGAATGTCCTCTAACCATGTTACGCGCCCCTAACCAGCTTCACTGTAGAACCCTTGGCGAAATATTGTTCCAGTGTAAATAAAAATATTAAAATCTCTATAGCTTCTCAACCGTACAATGTTGCTTTGTCTTTGCGCCACCATTGCACGTTTTGATTCGTTCGCTGCATTGTGCGTTATTATTTATATCCTCCTTAATAGTGGTCATTCACGGGGCAAGGGGTCAAGCCGAGTAAACTACACCGTGCGAAATTCGGCTTTCGAAGGACAGTGGTACAAACGGTGCTTCGTTTAATCGTTACCAAACAGCTCGTTCATTTTACGCTGGGCTCGAAAACATGTCGCTAGACTAGGTTCTCAAAAGCCAGAACACATTCTTGCGTGGTAGCGTGTTGAGTTGTTGGCATCCTGTTTGCTGCACCCTCTGTTATACAAACATCACAGCTATTTAATGAAGTCAATAGTAATTTATGAGGTCTGTCAGTGTACCGCTTAAGTCAAGCAGCATTAACTGACAGTCCAGCTGAGGGGAGGGGTGTATCACATAACTAGTAACTATGAATAGTTTGGCATTCCAAGGTCATTTCCATTAGTAAATAAATTATCCCCCATACCGAAATATATTTTTTTTAATTTACTGGTTTTGAAGGCCCGTTAGCATTATAGCAGATTTAACGACGATTGTGGACGCCGTTTTTCTGGGTCGTAAAGCGTCAGCTATATTAGGCCGCGCATAGTGGCAGTGGTAAGGTTAGAAACTCCGACGAAGTAGAGTTGTGGAACATAACCATTCTCGATTATATCGCAATGTTTGCGGGCGACACTCGCGGCTGCTCAATACCTCATAATTAAACAACCGCCTAATGACGTAAAAACCGAAGGAACCAGAAACCCTCCGAGATAGCGCAACCCCAATTTTGGGTCAGGTTAATTCGAGACGATGCCCCAATTGATGTAAGCATCGCACCAAACCTCCGGCTATAAATAGAACACCGGAAATAAAGTAAAAAGCACTACGGTGCGCGGTCAAACTCAACAATGGGCTTAAATAAGCCAACAATGGCGAAGGCAATGACGGGGCACTTATTTTTACTAAGTTTGTGTTCCTCATAAACGGCGATTACACTTGAAGTTTTCCCAAGCTTTCTTTTTTTGGATTACTTTGCTTTTTCTCAGTAATCAAGGGTTACTCTAGCACGTGCACCAGTAATAAATATGGAGATGAGGGCACCAACATTTCTTGGGTCTCAAAACGAG